CAAATGGTCAGATGACTGGCAAATGCTCTTTAATGTCAATAAATGCAAGACCTTGCATGTTGGGGCATAACAATCCATGTCACAACTACCAAATTGACAACACTACCTTACAACAGATAGATGAAGAAAAGGACCATGATATCAGAATCCATCATTCATTAAAAGTTGCACAACAAGTGGGAGCATCAGTGAAAAAAGCGAACCAAACCTTGGGAATAATCAAGCGTATTTTTACCGCCTAGGAAAAGAAAGTAGTCGTTCAACTGTAAGTCTCTGGTGCACCCCCACCTGGATTATTGCATCCAGGCATGGAGACCTCATCTCCAGAAAGATATAGCTGCTCTGGAGAAGGTGCAACATTGGGCAACAAAAGTCATACCAGAGCTTAGTCATCTCTCGTATCAGGAACCGTGGAGGGCAACTGGGCTAACAACCCTGCAGACAAGGTTTTACAGGGCAGATGTAATAGAAACCTTCAAAATACTAAACAATTTGGACGATGTCGATTCGGACACTTTCTTCAAAAGGTCAGATGTAACACAATGTACTACATAGGTTAGGTGCATAATATTTTGAGCAGATGCTCTTTAGTTTTATAAGCATTGTAAATAGTAAGTCATGTAACCTATACCCAGTGATGTCACTGTTTGTTGTTGTAATAAATGCTATGTGAAGCCCACATTCGTTTCTCTTCCTGCTGAATTATATCAGCGGCAATGAAGGGCATAAGTGGCACACTGTAATAAGTGTGAAGTGAACTGTAAGTGCACAAGTAAACGCAAGTGCATAAGTGTACAGTGTAAGTGCACTGTAATAAGTGAAGCAGCTATAGGCAACCTCTCAAATGCACTTCACAATATTAACTGGGAATCTGAATTCAATAATACACAGGATATAAACTCATTAGCTAACCTTTTTCTCTCCAAAACTCTAAGCCTCTACAACACTCGTTGTCCCCTCCTTACCAAACAAGTAACTGACAAAAGAATAAAAAATCCGTGGCTCACAAGTGGCATTTTAAAATCAATCAACAAAAAACATGAATATGAAAAGCAATTTAGGATTGGCCTAGTTACTAAGGAAGTAGTTAAAAGGTACTCATCAGTGCTTACCAGTATCATAAGAAAAGCTAAACTTTCATATTATGAGAATAGATTCAAAGAAGCAAATGACAACATGAAAAGTACATGGAAAACCATCTCTAATATCCTAGGAACTAAACAACACTCCCACAACCAGATAAAACTCTCTAAGGATGGCTATACTCCGTCAACCGATTTACAAATGGCAAATGAATTTAATAGCTTCTTTTCACTGGTTGGTGCTAACCTTGCCAGAAAAATCCCCCAGACTCTCACACATATCAACACATATCTCTCAGGCAGCTATCCAAACTCTCTTCTCCTCTCACCAGTCAGCCCAACAGATGTTGTGTCCATCATACACTCACTAAAAACCAAAGGTGGGAACATCAGTGAAATCCCATCCATTGTATACAAGAGAGCCTCCCATGCCCTAGCGCCACCCAGAGCTCTGCTGTTCAACAAATCCCTAGTGTCATACCTTCCCTGATATCCTTAAAAAAGCAAGAGTAATGCCAGTTCATAAAGGAGGCAATCCAGCAGACATAAACAATTATAAACCAATATCAAACCTACCCAAATATAAAAAAATATTTGAAAAAATTATCTACAAACAGCTCTACTCCTACCTCGTAAAATTCAACATACTCAGCCCCTGTCAGTTTGGCTTCCGCTCCCAAAAGAGTACCAAGGATGCAATTATTAGTCTCCTTGATATAATTTACTCAGCCCTTGACAAAAATGAGTTTCCGATTGGACTCTTCATTGACCTGAGAAAGGCCTTTGATACTGTTAATCACAACTACCTCTTACGTAAACTCCATCATTATGGAATCCGAGGCCATGCCCTGGACTATATCCAATCCTATATTAGTGATAGACACCACTATGTAGCCATCAATGATATAACCTCTCCCACTCTACCAATAACCGTTGGAGTGCCACAGGGCAGCATCTTGGGACCTCTCCTATTTCTTATATACATCAATGATCTGCCTAATGTCTCTTAACATTCTTAAACCTATATTGTTTGCTGATGATACTACCCTCATCTACTCAAACCCCAACCCACATACACTAAATAATGTTGTTAATAAAGAACAAAAAAAAAAAGTCCACTTATGGATGTCAACCAAGAAACTCACTTAACATAGAAAAGACCTACTACATCTTATTTGGAAGCAAATCAACAACGAAGCTGAAGCAATTCAGCTTCAGATAGACAATGTAAACATTAGTAATAAAAATGATGGAAAGTTTTTTGGTCTATACTCAACTTCAGCACCCACATGTAACACATAACTAAGAAAGTCTCTAAAACAGTTGGTATACTCTCCAAAATCAGATATTATGTACCTAACTCTGCTCTCATCTCATTATATTATGCACTAATCTATCCCCATCTTAATCTGCTATCAGAATAATAACAAATTCTGCTTTCAGACAACACTCAGCCCCATTGTTTAAACCCCTAAACATGCTAAACATAAACTCCCTTCACATATTCTCTTGTGTCAATTACATTTACAAAACCCTGTTCTTAAATGTAAACCCTACTCTGAAACTCTCCCTGGACAGATGTAATAGGGCCCATAATCACCACACCAGAAATAAATATCTCTTTGATATCCCCAGAGTCAAAATTAATCTGTGTAAACACTATGCAAATAAAGGGACCTAGTCTATGGAACTCACTCCCTAATGAATTGAAAAGCTGCCCAACTTTTCCGTCATTCAAAAACAAAACTAAAAAGTACCTAATTTCATCTTCATAGTTTCCTACCTTGTTGCTTTAAAATTGCACTGTATCTAGTGTTACCCAATCTCTCAATCTTTATGTACCTAATCCAAACAACTTTACCATTGTGATCATTGCTGTCTTCTTATATACACTATCAATCTGCTGTATGGTGCCTATTAATCTTGTCTAAATTACCAATCAAGCTGTCAATGCAATCAATCAGAGCTACCAATGTTCTTTAATATACCTACTAATCTCTCCCATCTCATTTTTCTTTTTTCTTGCAATGTACCTGTTATCATTTTATTAATTCTGCTTGAATTTACCTACTTAAAATTATCTGTTAGATTAAGGACCTGCCCAAAATGCTGCGTATACTAGTGGCTTTACAAGATTGTAAATACCATGCTATGTATCCTCACAAACCCAATATACCTTCTTGAATATAAATAAATAAATAAATAAATAAGTACATGAACCCAAGGTGCATCCCAAACCAGACAACACCAGCAAGCACTTAGAGAAATCAACACTAAACTCATGCAGCATGAGGCAAACAGCTGTTCAGGGTCCACTCAAGTGTGGCTTGTAACCACACACTTGTGAAGCTAATACTCGAAACAAATACCTATTTTATATTCCAAGAGTGCAACTTAACCAAACTAGAAATGCTCTGCAAATCATGGGACCCAGAATGTGGATTGACCTTCCCAATCATGTCAAAGACTGTCCCTCTCTCAACCAGTTTAAGAGAAAACTAAGTACTGTACTACCTAATAAACACCATGTAACCTACTTTATTTCCTAAATGTCAACCTATGTCTTGTTATTTTCAAACAATATTGATTAATAACCAACTTGTATAACTGCTGATATCTGCCATGTATAAACTTAAAAGAAAACTGTAGTCGTCTGTTTATTTAGTTAAAATTACTTCTGCTGTTCTGTTTCAATTTCTGCTGTTCCATCTATCATGTAATTATCATCATCATTCTTTTTTTTATCTTTTTCAATTCATTTTATGCTTTTGATCTCAATTACAGTACAGTAGTTTTAAATTTTAGTCTAAGTGTTTTCCCACATCTAGCCGAAACACTGTGCGTATTAGTGGCTTTAGGCATAGTATGTACTAGCTCTATCTATAAATCCATCATTCTATTTGTAACTAATTTTGAATGTATGTACTTTTACCTGAATAAACATTATTATTATTATTATTATTATTATAATATTAAATATAAAATAATACACAAGCAAATAGCCCCCCAGGGCAGGGTCCAAAAGATGACTGGCACTTATAAGGAAAAATCATAACCCAAAGGGCAAGAAAAAAGTTGGAAGAGCACTACACACAGTAGCACTAGGCTAATGTTAAAAAGGGTCAACTTCCTGAGCAACCTGCTTCTGATGCTGCCACCTCATGCTGATGGTGGTAGCATCAGAAGCAGTAATATTACATAATGTTCAGTAAAATTACCTAACTAATGGATGTTTTGTTTTCTGTTTTGTCTTGCTCTATCTTGTGGCTATTTCCTCAGTTAGTGATACTGTAAGTATTCTCTGCTCTCTGCACCTCTGTGAGGGGACCAGGTTTCGGCTTCTGGTCTCTGATAAGCTACTAATGACTCGCAAGGGCCTGGTGCAATTTAACAGCTGTGGCAATTTTTTTTTTATTTATATATAGAAGAATTCTTACATTCTTGTACAACCACTAGAACACATAGCATTTCGGGCAAATCCTTAATCGTATGTTCCCCGGAATGCAACCCCACCAAATCGTTTAATAACCAGGTACCCATTTTACTGTTGGGTAAATAAAGGCTACAGTTAAGGATTGATGCCCAGTAATTCCTCCCCGGCCAGGATATGAATCCATGACAAAGCGGTAGCAAAACACCAGGCGAGTGTCTTACCAACTACACCACAGGGACTGATCCAGAATGATTAGCAACAGGAAGTCACCTTGGAGCCCTCACAGAAAAGAAGCTATTGAACAAATATTGAAGGGTATATAAACATGCATAATAAATGGATGCTAAAATGAATAGCTGAGAAAAGGTTAATTTCAACAAGTCAAATATAAATGCTTGTAATAATACATTATCCTTCATACTGCAGAATAAATTTAATGCTTTAGATGTATGTATGTGAAATATATGAACAAAGATTATGCTCACCCTAGCAGAGGAACTGATGCTGGGCTGGTCTGGTTTTTTATTCTTCTGCTCGCAAGAAATATCAATGATAGCTGCTGTCTTAACATTGAGTTGCTTCTTTAGTGGCAATAATGTCAGTGAGTAATCTGACGAGGAGGAGGCTGACCCTTCCTTGCTGCTGACACTTGTGCTGCCTCCCACACTACCTTTCCCAACACTAAGCTGTCGTGCTGACTCACTCTTGCTGACATCTGAGGCATGGGAAGGAGGTGAGAGAGCTGACTCTGTCTTACTTATTTCACTAGGTGCAGGGGACATACGGCCAGCAGTGCTGGAGTCTGGGGTAGGCAAAAGGTCCTGAGTTAGGGAAAATCCCTTTTGGAGGGGGTAGTCACTCTTGAAGGGAGGAAAAGAAGAAGAGGAAGATTCTGGGCGAGATACAGAATCTGATTTGGAGGCACTGGAAGCAGGCCGTGCCACAATACCTGAATCCTCAGAGGCAGCCACACTGCGAGCTTCACTTCCAGGTTTCAACACTGTCTCCTCAGGCACAGGTGGCAGGCTTTCCTCCATAGATTCAAATTCTGGCTCAGGAGGAACTGGTGGTGCAGATGAAGGTGGTGTGGCTGGTGAATTATCCTCTGGCAGTAGCTTCCGACGAGCAGGCAGTGGTGGAGGGCTGGATGGACAAGGTCCACTGATACCAGAGTTGCTGGCAATACTATTACCATTATCAACATGTTTATCAGAGAAGGATGCACCACTGCGGGTTCTGTGCCTTGCTGCTTCTGCTTCGGGTAGGTCAGAGGGTCGAGTAGTGACTGTGGAAGAAGAAGTAGTAGTCGTAGAGGTGGTGGGCTTGCCGATAGATGACTCCTCAGAGGAGTTGCTGTACTCTTGACTAGATGAAGTGTTAGACTCGGTGGTGGTGTGGGCATCAGTGTCACCCAGGGACAAAGTAGATTCTCTTACATTGCCATATGTCTCCTGGAAGTCTCGCGCACTAAGCTCAGGCACTTTTCGCACTGTCTTAACCTTCCGTTTGGAAGGCCATCTTGGTTTAATAGAAAACTTATGGAGGAATCCTTTACGTTTGTACACAGGTGTCACTCCTCCAGATGTGTCCTTGATGGTACTCTCCATGCCCTCCCCATCGCCCAGGTGCCGCTGTCCACAAATATCAGAGACATCCGCGGCAGCGGCGCCCGGGGATGTCTCATTTGCTAAAAAGTGCTTATGGTCAATGTTGTCTGCAAGATGCAGCCGAAGATGGTGTGGATGGTCAGTGCCATGCAAAAGATCTACTTGCTTCAAACATGTTGAGTCTGCACCACTTTCACTGGATGTAGTAGTTGCCTCACCTCCACGTACTGAACTCTCTCCTTCATCATGGCGGGCACGAGGGCCACGTTTTTGGCGCCGATCATGGGGCAGACGGAGTGCCTGAGCTTCTCCACTACTGCTCTCCTCACTGGCCCGCGGGGGCGCCACTCCCCGGGGCCCAATCTGAGGGTCCAGTTGCCTAGGATTATCATCAGGTGGGGTATCACTTTCATCACTAGAAGGTTCAATTACTTCCAACACTGAACAAGAGCCACTTTCAGATGTTAATGCTAGCTCCCTTAGCCTAGCACTGACTTCCTCTTTACCTAATCTTTCTCCACTAGGTGAGTTTCCAGCTAACTGTTCACTGATTAATCCTAAACCAGGGCTCAGACTGGCATCAGCCCAGTATGGTCGCCCAGGACTTTCCTTTGATTTGGAAACTGACTTTCTTGACCTAGAAGATATTGGTGATTGCTTGTGATCAATGGTTGGATCAGGATTATCTGCTAGGTTAGCTTCACTTCGGCTTAAGTAATCTGGCTCCTGAACCTGTTCACTGTGACCAACACGAGGTGATAAGGCTTCCAATCTAGCTGGAAGTGTTTCTGAGCGTACATCAATACCGCCGCTTGCAGGGGAGCGTATTGTGGTAGATGAGATAGTAGCAGCTCGTGTGGGTGTTGAATGAGCAGGTGAAGCAGTTGCAGCATAGTCATCAACTCCCTCATACACATCTTCCTCCTCACTAAATGGGAAAAGTGAGACAAGGGATTCCTCAGAAGAGCAGAGTGATGGTAGATCACCTAGGCGGCAATCCCCTCCCTGTGCCCGAACAGAACACAGCTTTGCCCTGCATTATTAAACTATATTAGACTTAAAATTTATAACAACCAGTAATATATACTATATCTAAAAATATCCAATATAAATTTCATATTCCACCAATATTTCAAAGTTGAGCCTTATACTCCAAGGGTGAAATCTTGTAACTCCTAACTTGTCTTCACAGTTAATTGATATTGTATTTCTTGAACAGTAAAAGCAAGTGACAAGCTTTCAGATTTAATTCATGAGTACAGGGTTCAACTTGCAACCTCTGGCATGAAACTGAGAAACTTAATTTTGTACCTTTTTCTGTGGAGAGCCCCTTCGGCTTCCTGGAGCTATATCGGGCTGATGTGTATATATTAGACCGTGGCAACAGTCAATCAAAGGAGTTCTAAGCCTACCGGGGACCAGAGTCAGAACCTGGCCCCCCTCAAGAGAGGTACGAGGAGCAATGACCTAAAGACACTCCTGTGTAATTAGAAGCAGTATTTGTTTGCCATCTACCAGGTCAGGCACTCAGAAAGGTAGGAATTTCAAAACAAACTACTGCTGGTCAAAAAATTGCAAACCAAAAGCCAAACTAGCAAACAGAACTCCCCAATCAAAAACAAGGAAACAAACATGACATCACTACAACCCCCCCCTCCCCGGGAGGGGGATGAAGGGGCATCCCAGACCTCCAGCCAGCAACTCTCCTCAGTTCAAGAGGCTGTTGTGTTGGTGACGGTCGATCACTCTGGCTCCACTCTTTGCGCAGTGCTGCAGTTCAGGGTTGTTGCTCTATTTTGGTGGCATGTGAGCTAGCAGTAACACAAGAGTACTGGGGCTGCATGCACCTAGGGCTACCTTCCCTAGGTGCCCCATAAGTACTGCCTTTGCGGCCTCAGGGTTATCTTCCATGAGCCGTTCAGGAGCAGCTACCTCCGTGTGGTTCTGTTGCTGCTCGGTGATTGCCCGCCCTTGGGGGTTCATCTGGGGAGGTTCTTACTCCTGTTTGCCCTTGGGTGTAGGAGGTAGTTTCATCGCTGGCTGGGGCGCTAAGGACTCTGCAGCTGTCTGATATATGCATAGCGACCGGTTCTGTTCACCTGAAAACGTTGTGCTTTTGCGGGGGTTTTCTTTTGTTTTTCTTTTGATTTGCCTGGTGGGGGTCTGCCTTGTGTGATGGTAGGACCACCTGTAGGATTTTGGTGGCCCCTCCACTAGGTCCCCGTGCTTGCACACATCGCAGGGGTTCAGCTTTTAGTTCTTTGCTTGGTACTAGGTTTGCTTTTGGTAGCTCTGGGATAACTGGTTAGCAGTACCTCGCCTGGGCTTCCCTTAGCAGGCAGCCTAAAGGCTCTGGAAACCCCCTTTGAGGCTCAGTGGTTCAATGTAGGAGACCTCTAAGTTCCACCTCGCCTTGTGCGAACTTGAAGGGGCCCATGAGTTAGTTTTTTAAATGTTGTTCAATGTCAACAAATCTTTTCTGGGGGAAGCCCCTATGGCTCCCAGGAGCTATTCATGGCTGATATGGATACCCTAACTATTTTGCATCAGTCGATGTGGGTGGAGTTTCAGGCCTACCAGGGACCATGAGCCAGAACCTGGCCCCCCTCACAGAGGCACGAGGAGCAATGGCCCAAAGAAATGCACATGTGATTTGGAGCATTCTATATCTGCCATCGATTGGGACAAGCACCCAGAAAGGTAAGCGCCAAAAAACAAACCCCTATTCTGGTTAACAACAAAAATCGTCAAACGAGTGGACAGAACTCCCCAAAAGAATGACGTCACATGAGCCGCACCTCATATCTGTGCAGTGCTCTGCTTCCTGGGAGGGGAAAGGGGCAGCCCCAGACCCCCGTGCTGGCAATCCCCACCCCAGTTCCTCAGCTGATGGGATCGTGCACAGTCGTGTGGCTCCAGTCTTCTCTCAGTGCTGTTCATTGTCTTCAGTGCTCCTCTTACAGTGATCATGTGAGCTGGGAGTAATATTCTCAGGTACTTGGGCTGCATGGGCTTAGGGTCTCCTTCTCTGAGTGCCCTGTAAGTACCACCCTTGGGGCTTGGGGTTCTCTTTTACAAGACTCCTTGGGTCTACCTCTGTTGGCCTTTCGCTGCTTGGTGTTTGGCCGCCCCGAGTGTGTGGGGGTTTTCCTCCCTTTTTTGTCTTTGGGTAGGTGATAGTTATTGCACTGGTGGGGCGTAGGGTACTGCGTAGTTAGTTTTCACCTATAACAGCGGCCGGCTCTGTTCCCTCTGGGTACGTTGTCCACTTGTGTGGTTTTTCTTTTGTTTTTGTTTTTGCCTGGTGGGGGTTTGCCTTGTGTTCTCCCACCCTCCTTATATTAGGGGTCTTTTTGTGTGGTGGCACCCCCTGCTTCGCCCTCGTGAGTGGACACGTCCCGTGGTTTCAGCTTTTAGCAGTTTGCTTGGTGCGCCGGTTAGCAGTGGATAACCCTTAGCAGATCCAGTCTAGGGGCCCTGGAAAATCCCGCGGGGGCTGTCGGGTCCAATAGAGGAGACTCTTGTGTCCCCTCTCGCTTTGTGCGAGTTTGAGGGGTTGCTCTGTCCTCTTGTCTCAGGGCGACACTCAATGTTTTTGCCTCCGTCATGCTGCCTGTTGGGTCGGTGACACATTCGACCCTGAGTTCTGTGAGCTCTGTTGCTTGTTTGTGACTCAATTCAAACAGACTGATGACGATTTTCTTCGGGTGCAGTAGCACATGCATGGCAGGGTAGGTTTAGGTTATTGCAATGCACTCAGGTGGTCGCTTCCTCGGATGCCCCTGCTTTGCCTATAGGGACTCGGACTTGGGGGTGTTGGTCACCTCAGCCTTGGTTTTGTCTACGCCCCCTCGTTCTTCCCCTTATGTAGTTCATTCGGTTCCCCCCCCCACCTGCTTTCGGCCCCTAAGCATCTGAGGACTTCGGGGTCGGGGCAGGGTTTAGAGGTTTCTGAGACTTGGGCAATTTTGGGGGTTGCCCCATCCGGGGTAGCTGCGGAGGCATTCGAGTCTGTTCCTCTTGCCAATGCTCTGGGGTCTGACCAGTGGGCCCCTTTCCTTCCGGCTCTTTCGGCTGACCCCAGCTTTTTCTTGTGAGGCCGGGGCTTTGGAGGATGACTCGGCCCCGGGGGCCTGGAGTGGAGGTTCCCAGGGTTGGGGAGGAGCTGACTTGGGGGCCTTAGGCTCCATTGGACCCAGCCTGGATTTTCCGTCCTTCTGAGTGGGGCTTACTGTTGCAAGGAGTGAGGTTTTCTTTTCCCCCATCTGCGTATGATTTGGACTTGGGTTCTGCTCCTCCCCGGGTTCGGTTCCGTGTCCCTGTGGATTCTTCGGTTCCGTCTTTCTGGAGGTTTTCGGCTTCCCGCATCTCGCCTCCTGAGGTGCGGTTGGCCATTGAGGCTTACCTCCTGCGTGACCTGGAGTATGGCTCCATAATGGATCCTTCTTCATTCAGGTTTGGATCATCGTGTCCTTACTGGGTGCGTTATGAGGTTCCGGGGTCGTCCTGGCTTGCAGACTGCCCCTTGTTTTAGTTGGATGCTTGGGACTCGTTCTGTCGGACATGCATGTTTGAGTGGCGCGAAGCGTTGACGTTGGTCCAGGTTTACTGGGGGGGGGGGGCAATTTTGCGCATCTTAATAAGTGCCTTTTCGCTCCTGCCCTATTGCGGGATATTGGTGCGGTTCAGCTTCATGTGCAGGTACCTTCCCTGTCGGCTGTGCTTGTTGTCGAGGACTTACGTGCTTGTGGCTTTTTAGCTTCGGTCCTGCATTTCTTTTCCCCTACTGGAGCAGTCTTCGGATTGGCTTACGGAGGATGTAGAGGTGCTTGGGACTGTTCCTGGGTCTGGCCCCTTAGTCTCTGCTGCTCGTGCATCGTCTGCTCTTTTGAAGCTGTTTGCGCTGATCCTGCGAGAGGTGTTGCTACGGTTTTTTGCTGCGCGTTTCTCGTGTCGACAGGCTGTACTCGCTTCCTCCTTAGAATCTGCTTGGGCCCTGGTTCTTAGGTTGTCTTCTCCTTTTTTGTCCTTTGCCTTTTGAGGCCTCTGCGGTTGAGCATTATATTCAGGCGGCTTCTTCCACTTGCCGCCATATGTCTGAATTGTTGGTGCTCCACGGGAACCGGGGGGTTCCCTACCCGCAAGGTCGTGCCAGGGTTCGCGGTTTCGTTCGTCGGGGTCGGCCACAGGTGTTGGGTTCGGTGCTGGTGCCGCCTGCGGTCCTGCCTGTGCCTGGTCGGCACGGTGTTCGCTCTGCACGCCGGTCGGGTTCTCGTAAGGGGCAGCGGACCTTTTGCGGTTCGCCTCAGGTGGGTTTCCCACCTGTTCCCAGTTCCGAAACAGGACTGTGCGGACCTGTGGTTCATTCTGGACTTGTCCCATCTGAGTCCTTGGGTTTTGTGCCCCTCATTTCGGATGACCACTCTGTCCCAGGTCCGGCTTATGTTGGAGCCGGACGATTAGATGGTGTCCCTGAACCTCAAGGACAGGTATTGGCACATCCCTATTCATCTGGGGTTCCGGGACTGGCTCGGTTTTCTTATGGGGCGTCAGAGTTACCGCTTTCGTTGTCTCACGTTCAGGTTGAATCTGGCACCTTGTATGTTCACACTCCTTACCCAGGTCGTATTCACTTAGTTGTATTCACCTAGTTGTGCTTGCGGGGGTTGAACTCTGCTCTTTCGGCCCACCTCTCAACTGTCAATCAACTGTTTCTAACTACTACTACTACTATTATTTTATTTTTTATTTCACATCACACACACACACACACCAGGAAGCAGCCTGTGACAGCTGACTAACTCCCAGGTACCTATTTACTGGTAGGTAACAGGAGCATAGGGTGAAAGAAACTCTACCCAATGTTTCTCGCCGGCGCCTGGGATCGAACCCGGGTCCACAGGATCACATGTCCAGCGTGCTGTCCGTTCGGCCAGCCTGCCCCCTTATCGTGGTGGTCCGTCTGTGTCTGTTAGGTGTTCGGGTGTTGGCTTACCTCGACGACTGGCTGGTTTGGGCTCCCAGTCGGCCCGTGTGTCTGCTCGCCAGGGATTTGGTGCTTTCCCAGCTCGCAGGGTTCACGTTCCTGGTGAACTGGAGGAAGTTCCAAACCAGTTCCCTCCCAGGTTCAGTCCTGGCTGGGTCTTGTGTGGGACTCTCAGACCGCTTCCTTGTCTCTTCCTCTGGTGTCTCTCCTATGGCTGCGGTTCTGCCTGTGGTTGTGGGGGGGGGGGGACGGACTCCCGGGTCACACGGCGGTTGCCCGAGGGTCTGTGCGGGAACCTGAACTTTGCGATGTTGGTCTACCCGCCGGGTCGAGTTTGGCTTTGTCAGCTGTTCTGGTTCCTTCGGGAACGTCCCTTCCGCCTCTCTTGCAATCGCTGGGTTCGTCCCGCGGAGGCCTTGTGTGGGCTGCTGCATCGCCGGCTTCCTCTTCGGGTTTTCTGGGGTTCTGTGCCTTAGTGCCTACCCAAGCCCTCGCTTGATGTGTTCACGGACGCGTCATCTCTCGGCTAGGGCTTTGTGACCAGTGCTCACCTCTGTGGCAGAGGACGCGCTTTGGGTTAACCCAGTTTCCCTTCTTCCCTATTCCAGGGCGCAGGTCTCCCAGGTTGTTTGCAGGATTATTCGGTCCAGCCAGCCTGCGGTCTTTCCCTGTGCCCACACCGTTTGTAAGTTCGGCATTCAGCTGCTGTTTTGGTAATGTCCTGGCCTATCTTTTGGGCACTAGGCTTTTGAAGATTAAACAGGGTCCTGGTTGCACGTTACCTTGTTAATGTTCCTAGTCCTTTTCGGGCGTGTATAGCCTTGGGTCGCAGGTTGCGGCCTGTTGTCTCGACTTTGAGTTGAGGAGCGAGTGACGAACGCCTCCCAGGTGAGTCCCTATTCTTCTTATCTTTGGTTAAGTAGCTCCGGGGAGCCAAAGGGGCTCCCCACAGAAAACCAGTTTTGAATGTAATGAAACGCCATTTTCTGGGTGAGACCTGGAGGCTCCCCCGGCATCCCTCCCTCCCTCCAATCAGCGTGTTTTTTTTTCATGTTTTTGATACTCAGCCTCTGAACTGAGGAGAGTTGCTGGCATGGAGGTCTGGGACCCCCCCCTTTCCCTCCCCGTCCCCTTCCCAGGGAGGAAGGGGGGTTGCGCAGACGGATGAGCGGCGGTTGTGGTGACGTCATGTTTGTTTCCTTGTTTTTGATTGGGGAGTTCTGTTTGCCAGTTCGGCTTTTGGTTTGCAATTTTTTGACCAGCAGTAGTTTGTTTTGAAATTCCTACCTTTCTGAGTGCCTGACCTGGTAGATGGCAGACAAAGACTGCTTCCAATTACACGGGGGTGTCTTTAGGCCATTGCTCCTCGTGCCTCTCTTGAGGGGGCCAGGTTCCGGCTCTGGTCCCCGGTAGGCTTAGAACTCCTTTGATTGATGTTGCCATGGTCTAATACATACACATCAGCCTGGTATAGCTCCGGGGAGCCTCCGGGTCTCACTCAGAAAATGGTGTTTTATTACATTCAACGCTGGATTTTTAAGTACAGTACTGTAATGGGGGAAAACCAGCTTTGAATGTAATGAAATGCCAGTTTCTGGGGGACCCCAGGAGGCTCCCTGAAGCTATTTGAACTGATATAGTGCTATATTAGTTGAGGTCATCAGTTACAGAGTCCTTAAGCCTACCAGGGATCATGAGCCAGAACCTGGCCCCATCAGATAAGTATCTGTTAGATTAAGGACCTGCCCAAAACGCTGCATATACTAGTGGCTTTACAAGACTGTAAATACCATGCTATGTATCCTCACAAACCCAATGTACCTTCTTGAATATAAATAAATAAATAAATAAATAAATAAATAAATAAATAAATAAATAAATAAATAAGTACATGAACCCAAGGTGCACCCCCAAACCAGACAACACCAGCAAGCACTTAGAGAAATCAACACTAAACTCATGCAGCATGAGGCAAACAGCTGTCCTGATCCACTCAAGTGTGGCTTGTAAACATACACTTGTGAAGCTAATACAGTACACGTAACAAATACCTATTTTATATACCAAGAGTGCGACTTAACCAAATTAGAAATGCTCTGCAAATCATGGGACCCAGAATGTGGATTGACCTTCCCAATCATGTCAAAGACTGTCCCTCTCTCAACCAGTTTAAGAGAAAACTAAGTACTGTACTATCTAATAAACACCATGTAACCTACTTTATCTCCTAAATGTCAAACTATGTCTTGTTATTTTCAAACAATATTGATTATTAACCAACTTGTATAACTGCTGATATCTGCCACTTGGGAGGGAGGGGGGGGGGGGGAGTTGGATGACATGTTGTTTGTTATCTTTCTGGGGGAGTTCGTTTGCTATTTTGAGAGGTAGCTTGCATATTTTAACCAGACAGTAGTCTGTTTGATGCGCCGACCTTCCTGGGTCCTTCCCTGGTCAATAGCAAGTATGACATCTTTTAAATGTAAAGTGCTCAGAGGCCATAGCTCCCTGCGCCTCTCTGAGTGGGCCAGATTCTGGCTCGTGGTCCCCAGTACGCTTGAGGACTCCTTTGACTGATGACCCCAATTAATATAGCGCTATATCAGTTCGGATAGCTTCAGAGAGGCCCCGTGGCTCCTCACAGAAAATTTATATGCCTTAATTAATCCCTCAGAATACTCTACAGTCTAAGAATATCAGTTATAGAAACAATACAGACATGGAAAAGGTTCATAGCTGGGAAGATGGTATAAGAATAATGATATAACATTGTTGATATTGTGATTATCTTGACCACTTTAAAAGTTTATAAATATTCAATGTTGAAAGACATAATGTAAAACTAGACTAATTAAAATATACAAGAACAATATTTTTAATTGTCATGAGGAAAAAATTTATATATATTTTTATGCAAATGAACTTTTCATCCAAAATTTTTTTTAAAGAAGCAAACTTGGTAATAAATAATTATAAAAAAAAGTTGATAAAGATTTGAAAGAGTTTCACTTTAAATAAACATTAACATATAATACAATTTAGTTGAATTAATAGAAATTAATTTAATAGTATGAAATGCCAGTGCCATTAAAATTAACTATATTTATTTGATTCTTTTTAAAATAAAACAATATTATTAACCTGAAGACATCCAATGGATGATGTGCAGTGGCAACTGTCCGGTGACTTCGATGTCTGAGTTTCTTCCAGGCTTCCTCTACTAGAAGCATCCGGTGCTCCATGTCTACAAGGGAGGATCCAAACCATGTCTTCTGTGCTCCCTGCCACCGCTCATGCAACCCATTTACATACTCTATAACTGACTCCACTTGTTCCCTGGGATAAGCAAGGAACCTTAAGATGCATAAGTTTTGTAGCAAAGAACAGGACAAAATATATGTATATAAAAAGCATTGGTTGCATAATGGGATTGCAAGAGCCCCATACTTGTTTCGTGAGCAATGCATGATAACGACACAAAAGGAATCTTAGTAATTTAAGTTCCATACAGTAATAACAAAAAAGATAAAGACTTTGAGCTGATGCTACAAGTTGTAAAAACAACACTGGAAAATGAATCTTTGTGGCTCACCGTGCATGCGTGGACTGCCTAACCCCATTAACACGATCCCTGAGAGAGTTGTTTTCTTCAGCTAGGACTTGTAGTGCCATAATGATGTTGTCATGAGCCTCTACCATGTGTTCATGGAGGCGAGACAGCTCACGCACCACCTCCTCCCTCTCTTTAACTAGCCTTCGAGCCACACTCAAAACTTCTCTGCAAGTCCCAATCATAATTTATTAGTAAAGAATGAAAAGTATAAATTTAATCCAATAAGTAACATATGCAGTAATTTTCTGTACTTTACAGTGCACTATATGGTATAAATATTGTTTATTCTCATTAAAAAACTGTGAATGCATTGAACATTCAACTAGCTTCAACACCACTAAAGGCCCCATTCTAATTTAGAAAGTATAAAAAATATTAACTTATTTTACTGTCTGAAAAATAACCACTTTTCAGCCACAATTAAGCAAGAACAATCTGGCTTACTTGAAATTAACTCTGAGATCATGATTGTCTGCCATTGCTGCCTCCAGCTCCGCTTCTCTTCGTGTGAGGTCAGTAGCCAAAGCAAGGCCAGATTCATGGACACACAAGTACTCTGCACAAGCTAGATGGCCACGCACTACACACACTTCCCATGCCTTCTGACCCATGTCATTCTGCAAGGATCTCAAAATGATACTTTTGGTTGACATATTACAGTACTACACTGTACTGTACTTTAGGATTGATAATAATGAACATACCTGAATGAAGAAAAACAACAGTTTAATTTGAAAACACTGCATAAAAACATTCTTGTTAAATAATATTGCAGTACGCTTTGCAACTTAAGTGGCTTTATACTAATGTGCAAACTCTCTACCTTCAAATATACCTCTGTATTATATTCTTATGTATGAATATTTTATGAATCAATTATTATAATTATTATTATTATTATTATTATTTTTATTATTATGATGATGATGATGATAAAGCTAACACAAACAAATGTATATTAATTTGTAATTTTTTCTTTAAGCAACTTTATGATAGATTTATGTGAGTTCAGGCTGGTAATCCATTATTTAATGTCAAGAACCAAGAGCATATACACAATTTATCTTTCAGAATTAATGACAAATCCTATTGAAAAATTATGTTAATTTGTTTTCTAACAATGCAAATATGGCTATATTGCAGACGCTTAAATTTTATAAGAAAACGTCTTTGAAAACTCCATGCATAAAATGTTAAAGACTAAAGAAAGTTAAAATGTATATTGAAAACTATAGAGGTTAACATAAAAATCACATATGCAAATTATAGCCATCTACTTGAGCAAAATAAATGACACAAAACTGTACATTTTTTACCCCGTTATGGATACAATATTTCTCAGGCTATTTATTGACAGGGGGTCTTAGGTCATTTATTTAGATGGATTTCTGCCAATCAACAAAGAATAAAAGCAAAACTGAACCTAGGTACAAGAATAATTTTTAAACTAAGAGAAGATTTAGTGTGCATACCTTCAGTGTTACATCAGCTCCATGCTGTAAGAGGATGGAGCAAACCCTTGAGTTGCCAGTTCGAGCAGCAAGGTGGAGAGCTGTATTGCCATTGTGGTCTTTGTTGTCAAGGGGTACCTCATGAGCCATCATGTATTCCACCAACCATCCAACAACCTGTTAGAAGGGATGTCAACCGATATTTTGTAAAAAAAACTGAGTCGAATGTAATGAAACGCCATTTTCTGGGTGAGCCCCTGGAGGCTCCCTGGAGCTATCGGACTGATATTAGCTATATTAGTCTGAGGCTTCAGTCGATTGGAGTTCTGCCTTACCGGGGACCACAAGCCAGAACCTGCCCCCCTCCCCCCCCCTCAGAGTGGCACAGGGAGCAATGGCCCAAGGAAACCCCACTGTTTTTGGGAGTATTCCACCTGCCAACGACTGGGGTTAGGCACCCAGAGAGATAGGCGTCCCAAAACAAACACCACCTGGTGTTTGCAAAATTGCAATGTAAAACCGAACAGAGACCCAGAACTCCCCCCAAAAGAAACAAGGAAACAAGCAAACCCTGGACCAGGATTTTCCTGGTCCAGGGTTCACCTGGTCGACCTGTTCGACCTCCAAAACCCCCGCAACCAAATGTCAGCCCAGAACATGTTCCCAAACACAGCAGCCAGAGCAGCATATTTACAAACATCAGGCACAAGGGTAAACCACAGGCTGACTAGACGAAATGACTGCGGATAACCTGAGAGACCCGAGCCCTGGAACAGGGAACGGGGAAAAGCTGATCAACTGAAAGCGCGTTCCCGGCCACAGAAGCCGAGACACGCAGGTAACGGCAAAGAGCCACAACTGGACACAGCACATGATGCAGCCCCGGTCAAACTAACCAAGCCTCAATAACCCACGGATCCCTCCCGAAGCCCGCTGTCTCAGTTTTCGCCAGACAAGAAGGAGACAGCTGCAACTGAATAAACCATCTACCAGGACCGAACGAACAGAAACCTCTGTGCCGGAGGAGAGTATAAAGAACACCAACCCGACACCCAGAAGCTAAAGCCAACAGAAACAAAGCCTTCTAAAAGCAGTCTTGGACCAAAGGGGCCACCACAAACCGAAGAGAAGAGAGAAAGGAGAGCACCCAGTCCAAGGACCAGGACAGCTCAGGCAGCACAAGAGCAGGCCTGAGGTAAAACAAAGTATGAGAAAGCTTACGAAAAGGGGCAGAAGTGACATCCACCCCGAATGCAAGCTGGAGAGGCTCCGCTTGCACACACAAGAAGAGGCGACAGTTTTCAGCATAAGATGACAGTCCTGGAAAGGCCAAGAAAGGACAAAACAACCCAAATGAAAACAGAAGACAACCTATGAAGAGAGAGAAAATGGTAAAAGGAACACCAAGAGACTTCATACTGTCACTGAGACAAAGACAGCAGGTCTTTGCCACCATGAACAAGGCCACCTGATCACCATACAAGAGGTGATATACCCGCGCCAAAAAGACCAGACGCGAAGAGCGGAGGAGTAGATCGAACCAGCAAGGTACTGTACCGCCCAATCTCCTGGAAGAGGTGGAGCTGCAGGAAATGCACTGGGTTCGGACTCCGAGCAAGCAGCGATGGAAACCAAGGCTGGGCCGACCACCAAGGAGAACTCTCCTGCAATAGGATTTCAACCGAGCTAGAACCCGAAGCAACAGCTGGATTGAGGGGAAGAGGTACAGGTAACCCCCAAGAACCAGCTGACGAGCCACTCAAAGCCACCAGCCCCAAAGAGCCAAGGACCGAAAAGACCCCCCCCCCCCCCCCGAGCCTCCAAGAAAAGGAGGAGCCACCCAACGTCACCACAGGCCGGAAGACACAACCCCAAACGCCAACGAATCATGGGACCAAGTGTGGGCAAACAGAGCAAGCCTCTCCCCCATCGCCCCATCAACGGGGTGACCTGCAAAAGGGCCGGTACCCCCACTGAGAAGCCGACTTGTGAGCAGAGCGAGCATTACGCCGACAAGAAAAAGACGGCCCGGAGGAGGAGGCACCGGTACAGAAGCTAGCACCAAAGGCCAACCTCGACTAGCAGAAGCCAGTCTTGGCACAACCATAAAACCCATCCCAAGCCCCAAGAAGAAAGGGCAGTCTGTAAGCCAGGAAGACCCAGGAACTCCAGAACACACCCAGTATGGGGACAAGGACCCCGAACTTAAAAGAGGCTGGCCATAAGATAGGCAAAGTCCAGGTCGCACAGGAGGTAACCACCAAAGGCCTCCTGAACCTCTACAGGGAAAACCTAAGAGGAAGATATCCTCCAAAAAACAAATACTGTAAAAGTTCACTAATCTAAACTATATGGGAAGGACCCCTTGCCGGATGAGCACGTTTTCCGAATTAACTGACTTTTTCACCGCGGAAGTCCAAAAGTGAACATTTCCAACAATTTTTATACCACAAACAACATAATTTGAATTGCCACATATAATTATAAAATATTCAACCAGATATCTCAACTTACCTTGTTGTAGTTCATCTTCTTGATTGATGATACACATCTTGAAGTTAAGAATTCTTGACAATTCACGTAACTTATTCTAACACAACACTAATATTAACACTTAAAATTACTGTACAGTTCATGAGGCAAGGTCAGTTTTCACTGCCAGTTGCTGAAGTACTAGTGGCTGTACAAGAATGTAACAACTCTTGTATATATCTAAAAAAAAAAAAAAAAAAAAAAAAATATATATATATATAAACACTGTGGTATAACGTGAGGGTCGGCAGCATACTGGGCTGTTTGGCTTGACCAGGCCTGGACGGGTCCACTTGGGGCAGGCAGGCACATTATGTGGGCCACCAGGCGGAAAAAACTCCCAATATTTTAGGAGCAAACTTCAGCCTGTGCAAATTGTTTTTAGGAAACTTGTATTTGTTATAATACAGTATTATATAATTTTTCTTTTGTTCTTGACCGTAATGAGTTGTTCTAAAATTATTGGTAATTATTGAACTGTATAGGTTCCTCCACATGCCCCTTATTCCCCAGGCAGTCCCTCCCAATGCTCCCCTCTCTCCCAACACCACCCACTCACCCCACCCCTTCCTACACCATCACATCGAGCCACAGCCGTACAGGATTAATGTGGTACAGCCCGATGCCTGCCTTTCTGATCCGGAATACTCTCCGCTTGTTCAGCTTACTGTCCTGATTGGGCAACCAAGGAAGGTAGGTATTAACCGGCTCAGATTTCAACTCTCTAACAGTATACGCTGATCCAGCTGAATATCCGCTAGTCTGGCTTCAATGGACATTTTGATCGGATAGAGAGATAACTTTATCTGGCCATGAATTTTGCCGGATTAAATTAAGGCATTTTCCAGATCGGTGGGAGTCGGATTATCGAGCTTCTACAGTACGAAGTACTGAAAGGAATCTAAGGAGGGGAGGTGGGGGAACGCTGTGCGAACAAGCAGCGTGCAGAATTAATTAATACACAAGAAATTTTATTGAAAAATTATGTAATGATCTTCCTTGTCAAATCAGAAGCACCTAAACATTATTCTGAAATTAACTGACCTCCTCTTGGGCATACTTGGCCCCGATGTGTAAGAGAGAGCGTTCCCCATCCTTACAGCGCACCTTGTCCCTCACTCCTGTATTCTCTACCAGCCACTGCACCAGCCTTAGCCGTCCATACTGTGCCAAGAAAAACAAGATGGTCAAGTAAAACATAAATAAATACAAATAAATAAATATATATTAATTTAGGTAAAAGTACATACATATTGAGTTACAAGTAGAATATGGGATTTTTAGATAGAGCTAATATATACTATGCCTAAAGCCACTAATACGCACAGCGTTTCGGGTAAGATGTTAGAAAAAAAAACAGTGCTCAATGTAAGGAAACGCCATTTTCTTGGTGAGCCCCGGAGGCACCCCTGGAGCTATCAGGCTAATGTGTGATATATTAGACCGGGGCATTAGTCTATGGAGTTCAACCAACCGGGGACCACGAGCCAGAATGTGGCCTCCTCAGAGAGAGTGCAGGGAGCAATGGCCCTGGTAAATGTCCCTGTGCTTGGGGGTTGTAGGCATAACAAAACAAACCCCACATGGTAAGAAATGTACAAAGAAAAACCGAACTAAGAGGCAGAACTCCCTCCAATCCCAAGGAAACAAGCAAATAAGCAAACATCACACTCCACTGCTGTGCCACTCGTCCACTCAGCCCTTCCCCGAGAAGGGAAGAGGGGAGCCCCGGACCTCCCCGTGCAAGCTCTCCAGTTCAGAAGCTAAGCATCAAACAATGCGAAACACTGCCGACCAGTGGGAGGTAGGGTTGCCAGGGAGCCTCCAAGGCTCACCCAGAAAATGGCGTTTCATTATGTTCAACGCTGGTTTTCTGTGGGAAAGCCCCTTCAGTTCCCTGGAGCTACATAACCAAACATAAGAAAAAGAGGGACTTACCGAGAGGCGGCCGCCACACACTCCTCAATGTGAAGTTGAGGTAACTGGCTGCAACCTGCAACTCAAAGGAACAAAGGAATGCCCAGGAGCAAGAATGTTAACCAAATAACAGGCGGCCAGGACCCTGTTCGACCTCCAAAATCCCCATGCCTAAATATCAGCCCAGGACATGTTGCCAAACACGGCAGCCAATTCAGCAAACTTCCTAACGTCACGGGCATAAGAATATACCGAAAGGCTGGCTAGATGTAATAACTTTGAAGACGACCTGGGAGACCCGAGCCCTGGAACAGGGAACAAGAAAAACCGGCTCAACCCATAGTTCATCCCCAGCCACCGAAGCCGAAGTACACAGATAACAGCGAGGAGCTCCAACCGGACACAACACATGATGCACCCCTGGCCTGACCAACCAAGCATCAATGACCCAAGGACCCCTCCAGAAAGCAGCCGTCTCGTTCTTCACCAGAAAAAAAAGGAGAAGGCTGCAACTGAACAAACCGACCACCAGGACCGAAAGACAATCTTAAACCGAAGGGGCCCCTACAAACTGAGGAGAGGAAAGATAAGAGAGCACCCTGTTCAAGGACCAGGATGACTCAGGCGGCGTATGAGCAGGGCAGAGATAAAACAAAGCACGAGAAGCTTATGGAACGGGGCAGAAGTGACATTAATGCCTGAACCCTCATGGTTCAGGCAATGAACCACCTGGGAGCAGTCCGAATGGAACCAAATCGTTGCTCCGTGAGCGACACGAAATCTTTGAAGCGAAAACCACACCATCGTGATCTCCCGCACAGTGCCGTGAACCCGACGGAAGGACAGACCCCTACCGATCCTGGTCTGCTTGGTGAGCACTGAACACAAAACCCCAGCCAAGAGACGATGCATCCATGAACACATCGAGCGAAGGCTCGGGTAGGCGCCACAGCACTGAACCCCGAAAAACCCGAAGAGGAAGCCGGTGACGCAGCAGCCAACACAAGGCCCCAGGGTCTGAATCCAGTGATCACGAGAGCAGTGGAAGCTATGTCCTGGAAGGAACCAGAACAGCCGCTGAAGCCAGATCCGACCCGACAGGTAGACCAGCACGGCAAAGTTCAGACTGCCGCACAGGTGCTCAACAACCGATGAGTGACCCGGGTGCCCTCCAAAAATAACTGAAGGCGGGACCAAACCAGCTGTGTACCGGACCAGTTCGATCTGCTGGAAGATGCAGAACCGCGGAAAACGCCCCAGGTTCAGATGCTGAGCAACCAGTGCCTGAAACCCAGGCTGGGTCGGCCACCAAGGGGCCAAGAAGACTACTCTCCCATGGTAGGACTCCAACTGAGCCAGAACCCAAAACAACGGCTGGACCGGTGGGAAGAAGTACAGGTAACCCCACCTCAATCAGTCCTGCCGAAAGGCATCCACCACGAACACTCCGCGGTCAGGAAAGGGCACCACATATATCAGGAGATGCCTCGACCAAACCGACGCGATGAGGTCCACCTCCGGGACCCCGTACATCCAGCAGAGCCAACTGAAGGAGTCGGTGTCGACCATCCATTCCGTGGGCAGGGGAATGAACTAAGACAGGCCATCTGCCAGGACGTTGGACACTCCTTGGATATGAATCACCAAACAAATCCCGAGAATGCAGCAGACGAGCCACTGAAAGCGACCATCCCCAAAGAGGCAAGGACCGAAGGGAACCCTGCGGTTCAGGCAATGAACCACCCAAACAAGACCCAGCCAGGTCCAAACCTGTGACGGAACCAAATGGGACTTCCTCTAGTTCACCAGGAACCCGAACCCGGCGAGCTGGGAAAGAACCACACCCCTGGCGAGCAGACGAGTGGACCAGCTGGGAGCCCACACCTGCCAGTCATCGAGGTAGGCCAGAACCCGAAACCCATAGCAGATGAAGACGTGCCACCACAACCCGGGTAAGACTTGTGAATATGTGAGATGCCAGATTCAAGCAAAAAGCAAGGCAACGAAAGTGGTAAGCCTGACACCCCACCACGAAACCTAACCAGTCCCTGAACCCCAGTTCAGGGTGTTCGGGGCTCATGGGGCAAGGTTCTCCCCTCTTTGCTCTGAAGAGTCATCTCGGAGTGGGTGCACTTGGGCATGGTCAAAATGACCATCCCTCAAGGAAAACTGGTGGGGAAACCAGTCCCATTTCGGCACTGGAAACATTTCGGCGTTTCCAGTGCCTCAGGTGGGGAAACCCACCTGAGGGACAGGGTCGTTTCGACCATGCCCAAGTGCACCCACTCCGAGATGACTCTTCAGAGCAAAGAGGGATGAACCTTGCCCCATGAGCCCCTGAACACCCTGAAAGAGGAGGAGCCGCCCAATGCCACCACAGGCCGGTGGATACAACCCGAAATGCCCACAAATTGTGGGACCAAGTGTGAGCAAACAGCACGAGCCTTCCCCTCATTACCTTGTCAACAGGGCAAACTGCAAAAGGGCTGATGCCCCTTACGAGAAGCCGACTGACAAACAGAGTGATCACCGTGTTGACCAGACAACGTCTGCTCCAAAGACAACATCTGGAAACTGACACCAATGGCCCACCCCGACCGGAGGAACCCTGAGCCCCTGGCATGACCTGACTTTTCTGAGAAGGACGAGAACAGCCACCCCGGAGAACCAACAAGTCCGACATTGGACGACAAGCAGACAAACCCACCTGCAGAAACTACCTGACTGCAGACTCCGCAAACAGCAACGAACAAACCGGAAACGAAAACCTAAGAGCCAGGGCCCAAGCAGAGTCCAAGAAGAGAGCGAGCATAGCCTGCCAGCACGTGAGGCGAGAAGCAAAGAACAGAGACACTGCCTTCTTGAGAATCAGTGCAAACAGCCTCAACAGTGCGGCCGACACCCTAGCCACTGAGGCCAGCTCACCAGACAAAGGTCCGGCACTCCACCTCCACATCCTCCTCAAACCAGTCCAAGGACAACTGGAGATGGGAAAAGAAGCACTAGACCTAAGCCAAATGCCCACAGGCGTGAAAATCCTCACCAACCAAAGATGCCAAAAGGGTGGAAACCTGCACATGCAGCTGCACCAGGCCAACATTCTAAGGAAGCACAGGGGCGAACAAGCACACATTATGGTACTCAAACCCGCCCACCAGGTAAACCTGCAGAATGGTAGAAGTTTCTTGCCACTCAAGCGTGCGGGTCTGACAGAACCCATGCCACACCCCCCCAACGAAAAGAACGGGCAGTCTGCCAGCCAGGAAGACTTTGGAACCTCCAAACACACCCAATATAGGGAAGAACCGAATTCAAACGAGGACGGATCCATCACAGAGGCAGAATCCGGGTCTCGCAGGAGGTAAGCAGCAAGCGCCTCCAGAGCCTCCTTAGGTGAGATATCAGAGAGAGAAAACCTCTGGAAAGAGGGAGCCAAGGAACCCAAGGGAACCCGGAACCAAACCTGGGGAGGAGCCGACCCCAAATCATACTCATACAGGGAAGGGGGGTAAAAAAAAAAAACTCCCCCTCCTACAACAACAAGCCACACGAAGAGGCCACCAACACCCAAGCAGGGGTCAAAGGGGGCCCAAGCAGGGTCAAAGGGGGCCCATGCAGGGTCAAAGAGGGTCCAAGCCCCCCAAGCCAACTCCTCCTCAGCCATGGAATCCCCCAAGTCGGGACCTGGAGCAAAGCAGTCCTCCATACCATCTACTTCTGAAGAAAAGTCAGAGTCCAGGGGAAAGGCAGAAAAAAAAGAGGCCCTGCTGGTGGGACCCAGAAGCCTCGAACAGGAGGAACCAACTTGAATGCCTCTGTCCCCATCCCGAACTGGGGTAAGCCTCCAGAGCTGCCCGAGTCTCATTACCAACTAAACCCTGCTCCGACTCCGAAACCTTCAGACATTTGTGAGCTGGAAGCAAGGGGAAAGGGGGAGCAGGGTGAACAACAGGGGAAGGATCAGGGAACGTGGTTATCTTGAGATGATTTCGAGGCTTTAGTGTCCCCGCGGCCCGGTCCTCGACCAGGCCTCCACCCCCAGGAAGCAGCCCGTGACAGCTGACTAACACCCAGGTACCTATTTTACTGATAGGTAACAGGGGCATAGGGTGAAAGAAACTTTGCCCATTGTTTCTCGCCGGCGCCTAGGATCGAACCCAGGACCACAGGATCACAAGTCCAGTGTGCTGTCCGCTCGGCCGACCGGCTCCCTTGGACTGAACCAAAGTCAAAGCGACTAATGCCCCAAAGTCCGGGTCCCTATAACCAAAACGGGGGCAGCCTCGGGGCATCCGAGTTGGCGACCAACCTAGCGCATTGCAGCAACCTAAATCGAGCATGCAATGCGAATGCTGCCTGTACATAAATATCAATGTTATCAGAATGGGTAAATTGAAGAATATGCAGAGAACATGACTCACAAGACTCCGGCTCAAAGGTGTTGTTGACCCAACAGGCAGCATGACAGAGACAAAAGCGGTGACTGTCACCCTGTGACAAGAGCATACAGCAACCCTCAAACTTGAACAAAGCGAGCTGGAACTCAGAAGATGAATCCACAGGTCCACTGAGCCCAGACAGGGTTTTCCAGGGCCTGTAGACTGACTGCTACGGGAAGCCCGGGTAAGGTGTTGCTTACCAGTTAGACCCAAAGCTAACAAGGGAGGGAAGAGCACACATTGAAACCCCTGCGACATGTACAATCACGAGAGCCCAGCAGAGGGCCATGAAATTAGTATAAGTGGACCAATAGCCCCACCAGGCAAAGCAAACAAAAAGAAAAGAAAAACCTTGCAAAAGTACAATCTCCCCAGAGGAAACAGGAACTGGTTGCTGCGTAGGTATGCAGGCTGCGCAACACCTAGATGTCCCAACCAGCAACAATACTACTTCTTACCCAAGGCCAAACAAGGGCCACGAAACCAAGGGTGGGGTAGATGCCAAACAGCAAGAAGCCCTACGGAAATAGTATCCCGAACGCACCAGGGAAGATAACCCTGACAGGCAAGGTAGTACTCACAGGGCACTTAGGGAAGGCTGGCCTAAGTGCATGCTGCCCTGTACACTTCAGGTACACCTGACCACCTTACCACGAACAGCAGAGGACACCACCAAGACAAAACACTGCGTAGGAAATCAAGGCCAGAGATGATGACCGCCATGGATTGCATTAGCCAACGAACTGCAATGGCTGGGTTGCTAGTGAACTGGGGGGAGGGGGGGGTCAGTGCCGACGAGCGACGCGGCGGGTAGTGGAGTGTGACGTTTGCTTGTTTGCTTGTTTCCTTGAGATTGGAGGGAGTTCTGCCTCTGTTCGGTTTTTGGTTGCATTTTTTTACAATGTGGAGTCAGTTTTGTTATGCCTACCTTTCTAGGTGCCTAACCCTGGTCGATGGCAGATAAGGAAAAACCTCAAACACAGGGCGGTTTTCCAGGGCCATTGTTCCCTGTGCCTCTCTGAGGGGGCCAGGTTCTGCTTCGTGGTCCCAGTAGGTTGAACTCCTATGACTAAAGCCCTGGTCTAATGAATTGCATATTAGCCTGATAGCTCCAGGGACCCAAAGGGGCTCCCCACAGAAATGATATCGAGGCTTTACAAGAAGATCTATATAAGCTCCACAAATAGTCAAAAGACTGGCAAATGTTTTTTAATACATTAAATACAAGACCTTACATGTGAGGCATAACAATGCACATCAAAACTACCATATCAACATTTCCTTGCAACAGATTGTTTGAGAAAAGGACCTTGAAGTCAGAATCCACCAGTCACTAAAAGTTGCACGAGTGGGAGCTGCAGTTAAAAGGCAACCAAACCTTAGGAATAATCAAATGAACCTTTGACTTCAAGAAAAGGAAGGTAGTTATTGAAATGTATAAATCTCTGGTGTGTCACATTTGGACTACTGTATCCAAGCATGGAAACCTCATCTTCAGAAGGACATATCTGCTTTGGAGAAAGTTTAACTCCAGGAAAAAAATCCTCCTAAAACTAAGTCAACTCTCATACCAGGAATGGTTGAGGGTCAGAGGACTAACAACGCTGAAAACCAAACATGACAGAATTGATATCATCAAAACTTTTAAAATACTGAACAATTTGGAGGATATTGATCCAGACCACTTCTTTAAAAGGTCAGATGCAATATAGACAAGGAGCAACAGCATCAAGCTCAACAAGCCTCAATGTAGGAGAGATAACAGATGCTTTTTCACTCAGTTAGGCAATTCCATGGGTTATAATATAAACCCATGGGATTGCCTACCTGCTGAAGCTGCTAAAGTGAAAACATTGCAGCGATTAAAAATTCAGCTAGATAAAATCATCAGGACAAATAGAGGTATCTTTGACAAGCCACTGGTTTCCTGTCCTTATCAAGGCCACTAATAAGATGATGGCTCTCAGGTAAATCTGCATAGTTGGTTACCATTTCCAGAAATGTGAGCAGACGCATTTGGTAGGATTTATTTTTTACAAAACCATATTGAGATGTTGAATGATTTCCTCCCTTACGTTTCTCTTCGTGAGCTTGTAGATATGTGAGGGCTAGGCTAATTAGTTTGTAATTTTCTGCTAAAATACTAAATTTCTTGTAGGTAGGCATGAATTTGCATACTGTGTTTCCAATCTGGAGGGACTTTTTCTTGGTCTAGAAATTTTATGAATAGAAGTTTCAGTGGCAGGCTCAGTACATCGGTCAGTTCCTTTATGATTTTAGATTGAATTCCATCCATGCCTGCAGCTTTTAATTCCCTTAATTTGTCACTGTTCTTCTAATTATATCACATGTAATTGGTATATGTGTATGTCTTTCATCATTAAGTATTACTTTAGATAACTGAACATCATTTGTTAAAATATCTTTAACCATTCATAACTTTTTTCTCATATACTGTTAGGTATTACCCCAAAAATATAAATTTAATTCACACATTATCTTAAGTTATGCCCAGAATGCTCTGTGAAATTAGTGGTTTTTATAAAATAATGTATATACACACACACACTGCATCTTCTGAGTAAATAATGTACTGTAATCTGATCCTTTGTATATCTTACAAATAAATTATTATTTTTTTATTAATAACTCATTCTCTTTTCTTTCAAATAATTAATGATTCATATGAATCTAGCACCATGAATGTGTGCGTGAAATTAATATTTATTCATTAATACTGTATAGTAATTATTGCTCTAGTTAACTTATTCTGGCTGTAGATACCTACATGTGAGAGGTAGATGAGAGATTAGGGCAAAACTTTATGTGCAGATAGGACAACCTTAAACACAGTATCTAATTACTGCTGAGCTTTTATTACATGGCAGGAAAGTGATGTACAGGACTAATAAAAGTTTTGTATTGGTTATAAATAGAGTTGTATTTAGGTTACTTTGTTGTTTAATCTACCCAAGGCAAACTATATACAGAATTTTAATGTTTTTTCACATTTGAGTTCAATAGTAATAAAATACAGGAAGATTTTAAATACAGTATTACAAGAGTTTTATACCTTGATAGCACACACAAGGGGAGTAAGTCCAAACTTGTTTTCATCATGTAGAGCATCAACTAGCACTTGCTGCGAGGTTAACAGCCAAGCCAATGGTGCCAGATGGCCAAACACGGCCATCACATGAAGAAGGTTGTTGCCGCTGTGATCACTTAGGTTGCGGATCAAGGTGCCCTCCATATCAGCAACACTACGTTTCTGAAATTTATGTTGAATTCCTCAAGAGATCCTTTCTTAAGTGTATATATACAAATTTTTGACATACATGTGCTGTAACATACTCCACCATTCACCACTATGTGGTGTAACCAGCCTCACATCCCCAAAAATATTGGCATGACATATGGATGTGGTGACCTCATCACCTACCATTATAGGTCGGTAATCTACTAGGCAAATGCTCCAACTTAGTCTAAATGATACCAGTGTATCTATAAATAAACCAGTGTAACTTGAAAAACAAGAACATAAAAAATAATTATAAAATTGAATATTGAAAACTTCAGATTTTGAAATAGCTGCAAAAATATAAAAATATCACCAACTGTTCATTTGGTGTTATTATGCTCTCAGAATAGCATATGATCTTCATTTTTATATATTTAAAATATAGGTTTTCAGTATAGTTTACTGTAAACAAAAATTGTCAATATGGCATTTGAAATATGCACAAATTTAGACAACAAAAATTTATAACTCCAAACATTTAGAGTTTATGAAAAATCAATTCTATAGGGATTGTAGAACAGACAGCTGTGCACACTATATGTAAAAATGGTGAGAATCAGTCAGAAACTAGATTTTTGGATACTAAAGTAAGTTGATATTCTAGTTATAAATATAATTGAAGTTGAAATTATCGACAATGAATAAGGCAGTTCTAATTCATGAATTTACTTGTATGTTGTAATAAAAATTGTTTGGCATTCGTACTCAAGTATGTGAAAGGTGTAGGTCAATGTGTGTGTAGAAATGAAGTCAAGAAAAAATAATCCCCCCACAAAAACAAAATATAGGGATAATTATAATAATTATAATGATTTAGGGAATATATTTAGGACTGTAACGGCTGGGTTGCAGTTAATAACTCTGTACATACTTTATATAATTAAAAAAGCCGTAATCTGGTCCCTAATCATCAAAACAACCTAAAGAAACAAGGAAAATAGTTTGAAATCTGTGAAAAAATCAGTCAAAAAAAATTCAGTCCCAAGTTCTGAGAGTTGTAACTGATTTATTTGTTGACCAATTTAAATCTGGCTTCACATAGTTAGGGACGAGTTAGGGACTTTACATTCTCCAGGATGTAAAGGTTAAAACAAATTCAAATAATAAACAAAGGAGGAAAAAAAATTTTTTGGACATTGTTGAAAGTAACTGATAATAACATTGGGCAATGTATTTATATGATATATAACAAAACAGAGCATAATAACATAATTACTCATTATTATTTGTGTTATTATGTATTACTCACCAATGCTATAAAGGCACCAGCTGTATATCCACTTTGTGGACACTTTTTACTAATATTCTTCTTCTTTGTATGTCGGACAGGTACTTGCATCTCTTTATTACTGTATTGCATTATCCATCAGTTCCAGTTAATAGGAGCTGTTCTCTTTATCAACAAAACTTTTTTTTTAAATACTGTATTCGTCTAAAATCAATTTCTGAGAATATTTTGATGAAAGTTTCACGAAGCTGAAGCCAATAAGTTGGAGATTTGTTTGACATTTTTAAGTAATTTTTACATGATTTGAATATTTTTCGAATTATACCCCCCTTCAATGTCACACATCATATGACGTTTTGCGCAGTTTAAGGGTTAAATAGGCCTGCTGTAGTTATTTTATTAATATGTTCTGAAGTGAATGTTATCAGAAGCAAACTGATGATGATGGAGAGAGATGAAAATTCTGCATGGGAATTACATGAATGGTGAAGTGGTGAAATGGTCACTCATTTCAATTATCTGGGATGTATGATTGCCAAAAGGGAAATCTTTGCAAAGTTGAAAGTTGGGTTAGTTAGGAAAAGAAAATTGTTGGTGGTAGTGCCAACTCTTACATATGGTTTCAAAATTATTATGTGGTATGAATGTGAAAAATTGAAGTTACAGAAGTAGAAATGATTAACTTGGGAAACCTATACGGAATGGTGGTAGGAGAAAATATAGAGTTACAAATGAAAACATCATGGAGTGATATATGCAGTGTAAGTTATAAAGAAGATTGAATTTACCAGAGGGGCCACTAATACACTAGTGGCCTCAACACGGACAGAAAGCTGGCAGCTTGTCAAAGGTCTCCCCCATTTGCCCTAATGATTTCTATCAGGATTTTAAAATTCAACAGAGGTTTGTCACTTATGGCTTCTGTGGGTAAGTGGTTTCATGGGTTTATAACTCTGTGAGTGAAAAAGCATCTCCTGTTTTTGGTCCTACATTGCAGCTTGTTGAGCTTGATACCATTGTTCCATGTTTGTGTTATGCACATCTAACCTTTTGAAGATGTTGTTTTGATCAACATCCTCCAAACTGTTCAGTATTTTCACAAGTTTCCATGAGATTAGTCTTGTCATGCCTTGTTTGCAGTGTTGTTGGCCCTGTTGCCCTCAACTATTCCTGGTATGAGAGTTGAGTTAGTTCTGGAATGATTTTTGTTGCCCGGTGTTGAACTTTCTTCAATGCAGCTATGTCTCTCTGAAGAAGAGGTCTCCAAGTCTGGATACAATAATCTAAATGTGGTGCACAAGAAATTTATACAGTTGAATATCTACCTTCTTTTCCTGAGCATACAGGAAAGCACACTGAAATGGTTTGGGTATGTTGAACAAATAGGTTAAGGTAAATTTGTGAAAAGAGTATAAGGTATGGTAAGGTATTTATCAGGACAAAGCTCCAAACCAGTATGACTATAGCACTTGAAAGTGATACTGAATAAGGAAAAGGAGCTGAAATATGAGAATAAGGTGAAGGAATGATGCCCAACCACTTTAACCATTGGGGACTGAATGTCGACCTTATAAGATACAAGGCCCTCGCTTCTATGGAGGTAAAAAGGAAAGAGAGAAATGAATGATGAAAAAAGTGGATATTCATGCTGAGTGTATGAGGAGGGAAGTAAATGTATCTGTACATGATGTACGATAGTTCACGAGAAGCACTGTACACCTGATCTTATGAAGGGTGCAGATAAATTAAATTTTACTATAATATTAACATATTAATTATTATTATTATTATTATTATTATTACTATTATTATTATTATTATTATCATTACTTGTTTATCCTGTGATAATATACTGTATATGTATGTATATATCTATATAAATAAAAATGTAAATGTTCGTTTGTTCAAAATCGCTAATCTCTGATAGTTCTTCACCGATTGCTTTGAAATTTTCACACAACGTTCCATTCGCGCCCGAGAGGGTTTTTATGTGCATACTATATAGATGTCATGTCTGTGATGGGGAAAACATGCTTTAAAAAAAAAAATTATGTGTTTTTCATGCGAGAGAAATCTTTGAAACCTCTTTACCAATTGCTTTGAAGTTTTGACACAACATTGCATTCGAATAGGCACGCATTTTTATATATCTACTATATACATGCCTTACCTGTGACAGGAAAAAACATACATTTTTTGATAAACAGCGCCATCTATTGCACGTAAGAGCAACACACGCTGTAATCTCTGAAAATTCTTCACCGATTGCTTTGAAAATTTGACACAACGTTCCATTCGCATATGCGCATGTTTTTATATATCTACTATATTGATACCACACCTGTGACAGGTAAAAACATGCTTTTTTTAAAAACAGCACCATCTGTTGCATGTAAGAGCAACACACGCTATACTAAATATGTTATGATTCCATTTCAATGTTTCTGATTGCAATGATTAATTTATATTTTATAGATTTTGATTTATTTTCATTTTTATTTAATTATTTTGTGACATTGCTTTGGAATTGAGCTGTATTGTTTACCATATTGTTCATTTCGTGAGAATAAGTATAGATGTTCACCTGTGATAGGTAAAACCATGTTTTTTTTTAAACAGCGCCATCTGTTGCATGTAGGACCAACACACACTATACTAAATATGTTACAATTCCATTTCAATGTTTCCAACTGCATTAATAAATTGAATTTTCATAGATTTTGATTTATTTTCATTTTGATTTATTTTCATTTTGATTTAATTATTTTGTGTGACATTGCCTTGGAATTGAGCTGTATTGTTTATCATATTGTTCATTTCATGAGAATACTTTATTTTTTTATTTTTTTCATTTTTTTCATTTTGTTTTTTTAACTGTTCTTATTTTTCAGTGATGGGAACATCAGATCATTTGATGTTCCCAATTTTCTGATGGGAACATCAGATAATTTGGGAATGCATCGGAGGAGGGAGTGGGGAATGGTGAGGAGGATGAAGAGATCGTAGTGGGGGATGGTGGGGAGGACGAGAGGACAGGGAAGGGTGTAATGGTGGGGAGGATGAGGGGACAGGGGATGGTAGGGAAGGAGGAATGGAGAATGGTGAGGGAGGAAGAGGGGACAGGGGAGGGGAGAATGGTAGGGAGAGCGAGGGGATGGTGGAGTAGGGAATGGTGGGGAGGACAAGGGGAAGGGGGAGTGGGGAATGGTTGGGAGGACGAGGGGTAAGGGGAGGGGAATGGTGGGGAGTACTGGAGGACAGGGGAAGAATGCTGTGGCTCAGTGCCGAGCCACAGCAACGCGTGGTCGGGTACAGCTAGTACTGTGTATATATACACACACACACAGTATAGCATCACAGGATAATCAAGTAATAATAATAATAATAATAATAATAATAATAATAATAATAATAATAATAATAATAATAATAATCAGTGTAAGTTATAAAGAACCGGTTTACCACAGTCGGTTGTCCAGCAGAGAGAGAACCTCATACCTAATGCCCCGCAACTCTGACAAGTTTGTTGATCACCCAGACAGGATCATGGTGAACCCCTGGAAGAATGGTAGACAATTGGTGTGGGACTACATTTGCATTCAAACTCTGGCCAACACCTATGTTGATTTCAGTGTTGCACAGCCAGAGGGTGCTGCAAATCACTGGGAAGCAGCCAAATCTCGTAAATACAGAGATCTTGATCACCACTACTATTTAGTCCACATTGCCTCAGACACTTCAT